TGAATTACAGTGAGATTCGAGTAAATACTATATTAATTAAATTGATTTCTATCTAAAAGCCGACACAGAGTTTGGAGTATTTCTTGGAATGGGAGGACCAGTTGAAGGCATGCCTGTTAGGGACGACCGCCTTTTTGAGCCTTCTTTTAGTGTTAGTCATCTGTTTGTGTCTGAACCAGAAGTCACGGTCTGTAGAGAAATGATCATAATTTGTATGATTTGGTCACTAATTGAGCGCTCGATCGATAGGTATGAGCGACAACTGAAAGCGGCGACCGTTCCGGTGTTTGGCGGCGAAAGTCAATTGACTCGATCTAATGTCCCCAACACTAACCAACACGCGAGCGAGGGGTCCAACCCTATGTGGATGACCGGGTATGACAACCGGTGGTACGACAAGGATGAGGAACAGATCAGGTCTGCGTCCGTACTCTTCATATCTATTATCATATTTTTTGTTTGTATAAACCATTGACTTATCATACGATGGCATCCCATATGTATAGCCACAGATCGAGTGGTGATAACTCGTTGGACGAGAACGCAATCGCCAGCCATTCGCCGGACGACTCGCTCGATGGTAGCGCCGGTCGCGAGTCCGGGGGCTCCTCCGCCTCCACCACCACTAATGACAAGCAGGCCCTCTGCAGGGGGCTGGCTGTGGGTCGGGTCACCCCTCAGAATATAACACTCCCGCAGAATATCAATCACATCACTATTAGTCATAATAATAAGAATAATAATAATAATATAAATATAGTGAAGAAATTAGCGCCAAAACCGCCCCAAAAGCCGCCGAATAGTGTTCCGGTCGGCGCTAAACAGGCGATGAGCGCCGGTGGTTACGCCCGACAGCCATCGCACCCGAAGCTCAGCACAAATGGTGTCACATCTAAACCAATCGCTGCGTCCAATCAAAGAAGTATTAGTAATGTATATATTGAGTCCTATTCGCCCTCTAATCACAACAATATTAAGACATTTGCTAATAATTCGCCACAAATTCATAGCAATTATAATAACAATAATATCAATAATAATCAGACTTTAAATCAGTTAAGTCTTATGAATCTGGAAACAACAGAATTGTAACTTATTTATACTATTATAGCAGAATATTTCATACTGTAAAAAACTCACAAGCCTATAAAAAAATTTTTATATCAAACTTTATATTGTATTATAATTTATATATTTTTGAATATTTTAAATATGTAAATATTTATTAATAAAATCTAAAGTACATTAAAAATGTATTATATTTTGTATTATGAATTAAATATTTAAAATGTTGCCTAGACACAATTAGCTATCATGCAATTCATGAATAATAAAACAATTATCTCGTAATAAAAAGGTCACTCAGCTTGAGATGCTAGATGAGATACTGTACTTAAAAAAGTGTCATGCATGATCATGGTTAATTACAAATTATCAGTAAAAAGTCAATAAAACTACTGAAAGACAATACCACTGATGGGATCCGATGTGACGCGCGTCACGTCCGACAAGTCGTTCATAACATGACTGAACTTTTATAAACTATCCAATGAGCCAGGTCACTCATTTAAATTCACCGCAAGTTTAGAAAAGTTGGGCTTAAAATGCATTCAAAAAATAAACTTTTATTTTGTGATGAAATGTATAATATTGCGGACAACATGTAAAATGTTAAGTCCTATTCACATATTATCACACACTCTGCCAATCTGTCCCCTTAATTGTTACTCATGTGTTGCAATCAATAAAATTTGAGTACTATTTAAGTGCCACCCCTTCGTCACACAGTTTATGTGCATTTGTCTGATCGTCTGAATGGGGGCTCAAAAGCGTTGTAACGTTAGTTATGGGGATCCCAATGACAGACAATAAATTGGCTATTGAGAGCCCATAGCGAGCCCTTTTCACACAACCACATCACCGCTCATTCCTACACTTAAAGCGCACACAAAAACGTACCAAAAGTCGCACTCAAATCGCTGTGTCATTCAAGTAGTGGACGACTGACTGAAACACACAAACACTTGACGACAACCACTGAAACCCCGTTCATCACCACAAAGATATTCACACCAATAGATCCAGTCATCGGTGGTAAGGATGGCAGTTAAGGTACAACAAGCGGCGCGCGTTTCGGACGTGTCTCGAGCGCCGGCACCCGTGGACCCGGCCTACCAGACGCTGACGATCACCAGCGCGTCGGGCATTATCTCACTCCTAGACGAAGACAGACCCGAACTCAAAGTCTTCGCCTTAAGAAAACTCAACCAAATTGTGGACGAGTTCTGGCCCGAGATATCGGAGATCATTGTCCGCATCGAAGTGCTCTACGAAGACGACCAGTTCCCGGAGCGCCGGTTGGCAGCGCTCGTAGCCTCCAAAGTGTACTACCATTTGGGGGCTTTCGACGACTCACTGACCTATGCCTTGGGAGCGGGCGAGCTCTTCGACGTCACCCACGGATCCGAATACGTGGACACAATTATCGCCAAATGCATCGACTTCTACACCAAACTCCGGGTCCTGAGGTTCGCGGCCGAGACGAGCGGTCAGACGTCCGCAGCGCCGGCGGTGCCGGCGATCGACGCCCGCCTCGAGTCCATCGTTAACCGTATGTTTCAGCGCTGTTTCGACGACAACCACTACAAGCAGGCCATCGGCATAGCGCTGGAGACCCGACGGATGGATATCTTCGAGCGCGCCATCACAGAGTCGGGCGATTTGGCGGCCATTCTCTCGTACGCCTTCAAGATAACGATGT